TTTTTTTCTATTTGTGGTATTGTGAAGGAAGGTCTACCTAACCACCCCCCAACCCCCCGAGCACCATTGGGGGGTGGGGAAATTTGGGGAGTTAAAGTCCACCCATCTTCAAACGCCCAAGGTTGAGAAACCCTGTAACTGTTCAAGAAAGGGGGGAAGTAAAGCCTCAGGACCCCATAATCCTTGGCCCCTCCCCAAAAACTATGATAGGAGAAACAAAGAATACACGAGGAGTGACTACATTAATTGTCACATCATTTCCCAAAGCAAATGAAACAGCCCTGATCTCGCCCCTCTTCACTCCCACTCGCATTTTGGGGCGTCGTTCCCAGCGATTCCAAATTCAAGGGGCCCCCTCAGCTTATAAAAGGGCCCCATCATGAAAGGGCCCCTAGCTCATCCAAAGGCGATTTTGGTCAACGCCACGATTAAAGCCATTAAAAGTGCCAGGGTTAGACAGGCTATTTCTCTCTCAGCCCAGGCAATGCCTCAACGAAAAATCTCTCTCTGTTGCTGAAAGACAAATTCAAACAGCGTTATTCTTTCAGGTAAATGCAGTGCAGCCAGTTCAGAGGAGCTAACTCAGATCCAAACTGGAATCTTCCAAAATATTCCTTATTAAAAACAAAGTTTAGTATAAGGAGCCTCTAAGAACCTGCAACGGTTTTTCTTGCAAATCTGTTTCATAATGGCTGGGATGGAAAAGCTTGGGCAGAGTTCAAGAGAACAGATTAAAACGGTGTTTCTCAATCTCAGCAACTTTAAGATGGGTGGACTTCAACTCCCAGAATTCCCCAGCCAGCATGCTGGTTGGGGAATTCTGGGAATTGAAGTCCACCCATTTTCAAGTTGCCGAGGTTGAGAAACACTGGATTAAAGGGTATTTTGCAGTAGGAGAGAGAAGACTGGAAATACTTTCAAATCAAAACAAAAACTAATGTTACCAGCCTGATTCTTTTCTAGAATCCGACAATCATTTAAGAAAATAAGTTTCTGGGTTCCCAGATATTCCATCAGCCCCTTAAGAGCAACTGTAACAGCAACTCCTCCAATCAATTTGGAATGGCAAAAGCCTTCCAAAGCAAAATCTGGATTTTCAAGAGCTCCCTCCTCTCCTTTGAAATATCAACCATCATTCATAATAGGTGCGAGGCCACTGAAGTACACGAAGCGTTGAAGAAAAATGGGATTTTTTAAAAGGAGGGATCTTTGCCCCAAAGCATTTACAATGCAAACTGCAAAGAGTTTATACTGTAAAACTCCAGTGCAGAGGAAGAAATTGGGAAGAGGCAGAAGGATCATTAAATCTATTTTCAACAGAGGTAGTCAAAAAGGATGACCTAATTAAGTGCCATATATACTCGTGGATAAGCCTATCTGTGGATAAGCTGGCCCTCGAAATTTCAACCAAAATACCTTAAAAATGCATCATAAGCCCACCCTCCAATTTTTAACATCTTTTGTTCCTGCTAAGCATTCGGCTGCTGTATGTGCAGTTGGGCTGTAAAGGGCTTTAAAATATCTGAACTCTGGTCCACAGGTAAGCAGAACCCAATTTTTGGGGTGTACCTGGAACCTAAAATTCTCGGCTTATCCACAAGTATATACAGTAACTCAGTGTTTCTCAACCTCGGCCGCTTTAAGAGGAATGGACTTCAACTCCCAGAATCCCCCAGCCAG